CGGAGTGTAATACGATATACCGCTGATAATTGTTAGCGGGCTCGAAATGTCCTTGATTTCTGCCCATAATTACATATGGAACATTTGCAGAAAGAATTGGAGGTGTGGAGGCCCCATAGTCTGCATCTGGAGTCTGAGTCGAGAGATTCCTATGCGGAGACCAGACAGGAACACTTCGACAAAGAGACTTAAGAAGTAATCAGCTCTCATCAAGAATTTCACTTTCCATTAGTTTTGATTTGAAAGTTCCACTGCCCGAGAACACGACTGCAGCTGATCTTAATCAGACAACTGAAGAAATTTCCAGTAACCTATTATTAAAGTTTAACAAAACAGATGTGAATCTTAATATCAGTGGGATTTCCTTAGTTTTCGATGCTTCAAAACCACCTCAAGTCCGCTTCGTGCGCCTTTTTTATGTGATAGTGGACAGGTTCTAAGAGGCTCCAAATGTGGTAAGCAGAGTTTGTTATCAAAAAAATCCTTAAGAATCTCAAAACACAAAGTGAATGGTTAACTTACTTTGCTTAAAAGATTCTTATTTTGTCCAAGATAGTTGGTTACGCTGGCACTTTTCCATAAGCAAGTATTCTATAAAGTAATTTGATCGCTTTAGACAAACAGGAGCAATGAGATGTATGATGCAAATGAAAGAATAGGCAGATAATTTTTTTATTTCACGTTTGCTAAGTACTTCCCTATAACTATGAAATTTTCTAAAATGCCCGAGTTTTCCAAAGTGGCCATAAAAGCAATTTCACTTCCGCTTTATTATTGGTTTATTTAAGAAAATAGGTGTTATACGATTGGCTGCCTACTCTAAATCAACAATCTTTCAAAGGCGCAAAATTTCTTCGCAGATGGCATTTGAAAAATTATGTGAGTTGAGAAAACGTATTGAAAGCGCTAACTCTAACTTAAGGAGAACTAAACTCTTCCTATAGCTTTTAAGCCCCACATGGTTACGGAGTACTTGGCTAAGTTTAGACCCTATCGTAAGTAATAAGAAAGATGTAATTAACTCAACGAAGGAAACATGTCATAACCAAGCACCAAAAGTCATTCTTTTAAATGAATCGACGTACAAAACATTTCTCCTGAAAATGAGTTTCCTCGCATGAGGATGAAGAATGATTGTAATATAAGTATCGAAAAGGCAATGCACTTGCCTTGCTATGCAGTCAGATGCAATATAAACAGCTCTGAAATGGCTGACTCAAACAGTTTGATGATACGTCAAACCTTTTTAAATATCTTCGTCCCTTTTTGCTATTTATAGTGAGCTGTCCTGTTGGATACTTCCACAATACTTCAGAGTGCCAGGCATGCGCAGTGGATCATTACCAGGATAAAGAGGCGCAGACTTCTTGTGTTCCTTGTCCATCCGGGACATCAACGTTTGGCGCGTTAGCATCTAGATGGCAGGGAAACTGTGAAGGTCTCTAAACAAATTATACTAGATGTCTTCTTTTGACTTATGATGAATTTAATTGTACTGCTGTAAACAATATTCGTATTTGACCGCTTGCCAATTCTTATTTTCATCAGCAAATTCCAAAACGTCAAATACCGATGGGAAAGGGACATCTGGTCACCTTCTCAATGTCATCATTGCCATGGCAATAGTTGTACCTGTCATTGTAATAGTTGCTGTCGCCATCTTTTGTGTGTGGAAGCAAAGAATGTAAGTCTAAAGCATCATTTTTATTTATTTTTTTTTATGGTTGTCATTATCGTCACCATAAGAATTTCTTACTGTTATTTTTACTGCCGTCGTGGTTTTTCAAAAGTGGAATAGAAACCGATAGAGTTAAATTGCAAAGGAAGAAAAAGAGGTGAAAAGGCTTAGGAAGGGTGAACTGGCGTGAACAGAGCAAGGGTGATGGTGGGGTAACGTGTTGACAGCGTTCAAGCCAAAATTGCAAAAGCTCGTCTCAATATCAATAAAATAACAACAGGAAGCATTTAAATAATCGTACTGGATGCCAGGTTTATTCATCGCTGAAAACCATTCCGTTCTTCGCCCTCCCCCATTCCTTTGCCGATTCATCAAGTTTCTCTGATAGTTTGCCAGTTTCCCTTAATACTTAATGGTGGAGAGCATCACATTGACGACAAAAGAAGTAACATATTGTCCTCAAAATTACATCACTGTGACTTTACCGTGGCTTAAATTTGGACCTCTCGAACAGTTGTTCCTGCGTACTATTTACTAAACCACCGCAATTCCCAACTTTGATATATCCTCTCCTCAGATCCTTTGTGATATCGGCATCTAAAGGTTACCTCCACTACACAACAACCCACGCACAAAGCATAAAACAAATATTCTTATTTTGGCCGAGTAAGGCATTAACAAAGTTAAGATTTTGTCTTATTTCGGAGTTCCAAGACGAGTTCGCTTGAATGACATAGCATCACATAGCAAGGTTTGATACATGCGAGCTAGTTAAAATTCATTTCTCTCTTTCTCATCTATTTTATCGTTTCTCCCTCAGAAGACCTCGGCGAAGAACGTCTGAGACCAGGGGACACAACAATCCAGCATATGAAGATCCAATGAGTACCCGTGTCTATGAGGAAATTGAAGAATTGCAGTTTCCGAGTCCTCATTCCCATTATCAGTTACTGAACACGGAACCACATACTTACGCGGAGCTTCGAAACAGTCACTCTGAAGCCTAGGGATATAGTTTGACGACTTCAGATAATCTAAGTTGAGATTCTTTTTTGTTATAGTCCTACCTTCACCGGTTTAAGCCGTGGATATGCAATGCATAGGAAAAAGCAACGCGTTAACGCGGCCTAGGAAGTCTGGGGAGAGCATACGTATATCTTATATAGGATGCGAACCCAATGTTAGTTTTGGCAAATCAATTAAGGAGAGCTCTTGTAGCTCTTGTGCAGGTAATCTATTGATGGGTTCTAGTGCGGAAGGTCTATAAGGATTAGATGAAAGGTTCAATACTTCTTCCAGGCATCGAGGGAAGCGTTATCACGGAGAAAATGGCCGCAATTCAACGATAAAACCGCCCACGTAGACAATTCAAATCCAATCCCTTGGACAGTGTAATACGTTACAATCAAAGATACACTTTGGGTGCAATGTAGAGTTACGAGTTCAGAATAAAATGTTTCATTCTTAGTTGGATTTGGATCTTTATAAGTTTCGTTATCTAACAAGAGTATATCATCAAAAAAGTATTTTAAATTTCGTTTTCCAAAAGTGTTTCTAATACCGCATTTGTTCCCTTTTCACTCGTGTCCCGCAATATTATGGAGAAGTAAAACATGTTACAAATCTACCTTCAGACGAACAAAAATCTTACTAACTTTTTTCATCAATAAATAACCCCATCCCCATGCAAGTAACTTCTTTACGACATGATAATGATCACCCACGCGCTATCCAGGCTTTAATTAGGCTTTCATGAGAAATTTTTGACTAGGGAGAAGGGGAGGGAGCCCTGTGTGACAAAAATTAATGATATTTTCAACCCTGTACTCCAATGAAAAAAAACTTGAACTTTCGTTTAAAATTTACTTCAAGATGAAAGAGGAGTTTGTAGGAATGTGGGTATTAGGAATTGTGAGCCAGTACATTGTGAGACTTCACCATGTCACTAAGAACACTACTGAAACGAGTAGTTGAAAAAAGGACTTGTACGGGCCTGAATTTTTTTCAGGTCCTATTTTCAACTACTCGTTTCAGTAGTGTTCTTAGCTGCGATGAGCTCTTAATTTCATTTCTTCACCGCAGTGCAAATATATGCATTTTATATATCCAAAATCACCATTCACCGCGTCGTTTAAGATCGAAGTTCGCTCTTCGATTCCACAAGAATGAGAGGTTACTTCCACTCAACCTTGGATGTTAAACAACTACTGATGAAGAGGTAACGAGATTTTCTTTTTAGTTTCCAGTGGCATGTTAGCAAATTAGTTATCCAGAGAATTTTCCGTCTACGAAGTTCGGAACAAATGATGTTTATTTCTTTAAGACAACCGCTGATCAGACTCTAGTGATTGAGGCTCACGTGAGCCTTGATGACAAGTGGCGGGGGAGAGAGGAGCGGGACGGGAGGTGAACAGCAGTTTTCGATTTTTCAATTATAAGGTACTGAAGCGTTTAGTGAAAAACTTTAATACGTTTCCTGTGAACAGCGAAATATCATGGATTTTGTTCTAATATCTAATAATATCTATTTCTACTCTTTTTTCAGCTAATAAAACATTGTTTTTGTTAAATCGCTCGTTTTCGTGTTTGTTTTAGGCATAACAGTTTTCGAAAAATCGACCTCCAATGTTACCTTAAATTTGAGCCTCGACATGGGTCGCCACGAGTGTTCGCTGGGGTGATCAGAAAATCTTTCATAACTTGATAAATTTAAAAGATCAGATGAAGTGGATTGTGGTTCTAGAATAAGGACATGAAAGTCTTTCAATGTACAAGAAATCAGCGAAATCTATTTTTCAAGCTAGATCGGCCGGACCGCTTTTATGGATATTCTCTCTTAATTATGAATATGAATAAAAATCATCAATTTAAAAGAGCAAGATTCTTAAAAAAAAGCATTAATTACCAACTTAAGAAATTCTTTACTTGGGTGCATATTCTGACTGTTTATTATCCGTAGAACTGCAACCTTTTGTAGCAACCTAAGAAATGAGAAAGCAATGAACTACTTCTTCAGAAATAAAAAAACTAATCGATTTAGTGAGTTTCCAGATTGGAATATTAAAAGCACAAATTATGCAAGATATTATGAAAAAATTAAAACGGTCTAATTCTCACGTGCTAAAAAAACACAACGAGTAAACCTAAATTAAAGACTAACAACGTCTATGAATCAGCACAGTTACTAAACTACTACCACGAGTCTCTTCTCCTTTTATAAAACAGCACAACGATCAACTCTCTTTCTTTTCTGTCTTAGCCAAGATAACTTCCTCCCGACCTCTAGTGTCCTTGAATGTTCTTGACCATACTTGAAGGTATATATTACCAGTGCACGCTTATAGCAGTCTTTTGCTTTATCTGTGTCGCCCAGATCACGGTGTAAATTACCCAGATTGTTGTAAGACCTTGCAACATCAACATGCTCAGGTCCCAGCTTTTTCAGACGAATCTCCAGTGCACGCTTATAGCAGTCTTTTGCTTCATCTGTGTCGCCCAGAGCCTTGTGTAAATTACCCAGATTGTTATAAGTGTTTGCAACATGAACATGCTCAGGTCCCAGCTGTTTCATCAGAATCTCCAGTGCACGCTTATAGCAGTCTTTTGCTTCATCTGTGTCTCCCAGAGCCTTGTGTAAAAGTACCCAGATTGTTGTAAGAGGTTGCAACATCCACATGTTCAGGTCCCAGCTTTTTCAGACGAATCTCCAGTGCACGCTTATAGCAGTCTTTAGCTTCATCTGTGTCGCCCAGATCACTGTGTAAATTACCCAGATTGTTGTAAGTGTTTGCAACATGAACATGCTCAGGTCCCAGCTGTTTCATCAGAATCTCCAGTGCACGCTTATAGCAGTCTTTTGCTTCATCTGTGTCGCCCAGATCACTGTGTAAATTACCCCGATTGTTGTAAGAGCTTGCAACATCCACATGTTCAGGTCCCAGCTTTTTCAGACGAATCTCCAGTGCACGCTTATAGCAGTCTTTTGCTTCATCTGTGTCGCCCAGATCACTGTGTAAATTACCCAGATTGTTGTAAGAGGTTGCAACATCAACATGCTCAGGTCCCAGCTTTTTCAGACGAATCTCCAGTGCACGCTTATAGCAGTCTTTTGCTTCATCTGTGTCTCCCAGAGCCTTGTGTAAAGTACCCAGATTGTTGTAAAACCCTGCAACATGAACATGCTCAGGTCCCAGCTGTTTCATCAGAATCTCCAGTGCACGCTTATAGCAGTCTTTTTGCTTCATCTGTGTCTCCCAGAGCCTTGTGTAAAGTACCCAGATTGTTGTAAGAGGTTGCAACATCCACATGTTCAGGTCCCAGCTTTTTCAGACGAATCTCCAGTGCACGCTTATAGCAGTCTTTTTGCTTCATCTGTGTCGCCCAGAGCCTTGTGTAAATTACCCAGATTGTTGTAAGAGCCTGCAACATGAACATGCTCAGGTCCCAGCTGTTTCATCTGAATCTCCAGTGCACGCTTATAGCAGTCTTTTGCTTCATCTGTGTCGCCCAGATCATTGTGTAAAGTACCCAGATTGTTGTAAGAGGTTGCAACATCAACATGCTCAGGTCCCAGCTGTTTCAGACGAATCTCCAGTGCACGCTTATAGCAGTCTTTTGCTTCATCTGTGTCTCCCAGAGCCTTGTGTAAAGTACCCAGATTGTTGTAAGAGGTTGCAACATCCACATGTTCAGGTCCCAGCTTTTTCAGACGAATCTCCAGTGCACGCTTATACCAGTCTTTTGCTTCATCTGTGTCGCCCAGAGCCTTGTATAAAGTACCCAGATTGTTGTAAGAGCGTGCAACATCAACATGCTCAGGTCCCAGCTGTTTCATCTGAATTTTTAACAGCCATTTACCATAGACTAGCGCTGCTCTAAACTCACTGTGGTTTAGGCACATGTCAGTAAGTCTCCAAAGGCCATACGGAAAATTACACAAGGCTCTATTGGTCGCTTCTGGTATTCCTTTCCCGAGTGACATGTCTTCAATTTTTAAGCTCAACGTTTTAAGATGGGGAACTATTCTTGTTCCCACAACAATAGATTCCAGCTCTTCAAATTTTGAGAAAGACATTACCGCGCCATACACCACTTTGTAGCTTTGATCCTTTGCGAAACCTTTTGTCGCAGATTTAATAACATCAAGAACGACACCATGGACTCGAATATAAACACCAGTTGATTCTTCTTCAATTAGCAACAGTGAACATCGACTCATCCTCGTTCTTATCATATCTTCATCTTCAAATTCGTCATCTGTTGTTTTAACATACTCGATAATAATGTATTGCAGTATCGGCACACATGCACACATTGAAAGAAAAAGGAACATGTGATGCAAAATTATATCATTTTCCATCACCATTTCGACAGCGAGTGTTATTGCTTTGGTCATGGTCTGCGGATAGGCTGGATTTGTCGCAGCAAGAATGCTTTCAGTATTGCTTCGTTTCCCCTCTTCCAATTTCTTCAAATAGTCGGTCCAGCCAAATTTCGAGGTTCCTTTATTCTGACGAACTTGTCTCACATACGTGGCTGCGGCTGCCAATGAAAGTGGCTGGTAGTCTAGTTCTTTCGCAATTTCTTTTTCCATCTTGGCATCTGAGATACCAGAAAGGAGGTTAAGCAGAAAGCACGCATCATCAGGTTGCATTCCTGCGCTGATTGAGATATTTTGTATGGAAGAGCTTGACAACGGTATAGACGCAGTGTCTTGTGTTGTTATTAGCATCTGACCCCTTGCCCACAGCTCGTTTCCTGCATCTGGCAAATGATTGCTTGTACGAGATATGCTGGTCACATTATCAACTACCAACAGCCATGAAGTGTAATGCTCAATTTTTGTACTTATTAAGGTCTTGAAATATGAAATCTTCTCGTCTGTGTTCAAATCCTTGGAGCCGTAAGTGTTTGTTATTTCATACCCGGACATTTGCAATGTTGAGCGAAAAGGACATACGATTTCAAAAGTGCTTCTGAGTTTTCAGCATTCAACATCATGACAAATGAAGCTGCAGAAGGTATTTGTTCGACCTCGTCGTAAAAAATCGCTTGGCTGCTAAACGGGCCAGCTGAGATTTTCCACTTCCTGGATTTCCTGACAAATACAGCATGCTCAACCCATCATTGGCGTCTTTTAGTGTTTGGAGGTTTTGTAAAACTTCACCAACTTCAGATTCCCGAGGAGCGATGTCGTGGCTAGGTTTGGGAGGGAGGATGCAAAATGAAGAGACATCGGAATGTAATTGCTCCTCTAAGGCAAGCCTCTGTTCTTCTTTTTCACTTGAAGTTCCTCTTCCTTGTCCTTAACTTCTTGTTTCAAGTCGTCAGCCTTCCCTAAAACATCGTTTAACTCCTCCGTTAAGAAGTTTGTCTGATTTTGAACTTCACTGATTTTCAATGTCTGGAGACCGAGTGCGTGGAATGCAGTTTTAACCTTAGTAATGACATTTTGGAAATCTCCGTTGGAGAGGTGGCCCCGAGGTATATGTGCAAATTCTTCATTTCGGAATTTCCTTAAGTCATCCACATTTGATCTAATTGATGGATTGAGAGAATATATGCAATCTGAATACAGGATAGCGTAAAACAGCATGGTACAATCCCATTCAGCTTTATCACCATTCTTCATGGTTGTCAACAACCCAGCGTTTCTTTTTCTGTTTCGAGTAGACTCGCCATTCCAGAAGTCCATTCCATTTTTGGGTTGATCTTTCCATTCTCCCAGTGTTGTCTTGTATCGATTGTCCCATTCTTGTTTGAAGATGGTTCGCAGACCCTCAGTTAGTATGTCAGTGACAACGTAACAAATCCTGTAGTAATTCAGTTGCTCTGTGGTGTACTTCAACACAGTGGCCATTATCAGTTATATCCTATTAAAACCATAGTTATGTTAGTACCCAATAGGATTATTCCTTTCCTTTCCTTTCCTTTACTTTCCTTTCCTTTCCTTTCCTTTCCTTTCCTTTCCTTTCCTTTCCTTTCCTTTCCTTTCCTTTCCTTTCCTTTCCTTTTCTTTCCTATGCTATGCTATCCTATCCTATTTACCTATCTATCTATCTACCTACCTATCTATCTATCTACCTATCTATCTACCTACCTATCTACCTACCTATCTACCTACCTATCTACCTACCTATCTACCTACCTATCTACCTACCTATCTACCTACCTATCTACCTACCTATCTACCGAAATCGGTAGATAGGTAGATTGGCTACAGTCTTACACTCCTGGTAGAGTCACCCATGCCGAACATGGTCGAAAGGTAAAAACCAGACTAAGAGTGATCCCCTGGAACTCAAGTTGGAGGATGGACGCAAGGTTAACGACCCTGCCCCTTAGAAAGAAACAGATGTTACAGAAGCCGGATGCATTGACAATACAACTCAAACCGGGGTGTTGCTGCTGGGGCCGTAATGACGCTCTTGGGCCAAAGCCGGCGGGAAAAATTCAGGAAGGAAAGAGGCAAAACTTAAAATAGAGTGTGCGTGAACGGAACGACTAAAACAGCGATGGAGAGAGGAGTATAGTGCGAAAGAAAAGGAAGTGAAACATAGTGCTGGGGAGGATAAGAGGAATTGGTTGGAGAGGGGAAGAGGCTGCTGAGAATGGTAGAAACAAGGAGCTATACAGCATAGCCAGGACAATAACCGGGGAACGGAGGAGGCGAAAAGTAGGTGTAAAAGACAAACAGGGGGTGCTTAAGACATCCTTCGACTCGGTTCACAGAGAAAGCATGTGGAACATCATGGGGAGCTATGGAATTCCGCGCAAGATAATGAGCGTGATAGTAGGCATATACGGAGGATTTTATTGCGCCTTAATCGAGCTATACAGCATAACTAAGAGCGGAGGAGGCAAAAAATATGTGTAAAAGACAAACAAGGGGTGCTTTGACAGAATCAAAAGAAAGATTGCAGAGATGGTTGAGCACTTGAGTGAAATTTTAAACAGAGATGACCCAACAAATCCAGTGGGAGAGAATGAAGAAACAGGAGAACTGGAGTAGATTGAGGAAATAGATGGAAATGAAGGAAGGTGATTCTCGTGATTGCAACAACTGGAGAGGAGTGACTTTGCTACCCATCATCAGTAAAATATTCCACAAGATGCTGCTAGGGCGGATAAAGAGAGGTGTAGACAAGACGCTTCGAAAAGAGCAGGCTGGTTTTAGACCAAATGACAGTACAACTGAACAGATACTTATAATTAAAAAATAACATCTCAGACCAGGACGACATCGCTCTACTTTCATCCAAGTTTAAAGCCTTGAGTGAAGACAGGGAGATTGAAGGAGGAAGCAGCCATTGTAGACAAAGAAGGTGGAGGCAGTGGAGATATTAAGAACAGACCGCAGACAGCACGAGGCGCATTCCAGTGGCTATGGAAGGTGTGGGCAGCCAGAGGAATAGGGAGGAGAACCAAGATACGCCTGTTCAAGACTTAGTCCGACCGGTTCTGCTATATGGTTGGGAAACATGGAAGATCACCAAGACCGGTGAAAGAAAACTAAACAGTTTCTGCGCTTCGTGTGCCACTTTTTTGTTCTCACCACATTTTGATTTCATCTGTGATTTCTTACTGAAAAGACGCAGGGCTACATGGAAGTTGACAAGTATTGAGTGTAGTTTGTCGATGTGTTATCCAGAAGATTAAATTGACCAGCAAAAAAACTTCGAGAAATTTCAAATACAAAGGACAACACTTCTAAAGCGTTGATCAGATGAATATGATTTCATACCACCGGGCCATTCCTCTTGATTCGCTAAAGTAATTACTTTATTGGGTAGGTTACTGCGTTGCGTCAATTGAGACAAGATAGTTAAGTTTCTCTTTGGTACGTTTGGTTGCTCTCACCTGAAAGATTTGATCGTTGAAGAAAAGTCAAAATGAAGGGTAGACTTCCATGAATATTGTCATAGTAGAAAATCTTTCCCCTGATTAAGCCAAGATATCCATACGAAATGATAAGCGACCTACTATGAAGTGTTGACATTTGGAATAAGTCCACTGGAGAAGACACTTAACGAAAAGAGTAAGTGATTCGAGGAATTTACTTTGTGTTGCTGTTTATTCCTCCGTGATCTCACGGACACAGCATCTCATATGCTTTGAAGTCTTTTTTGCTCAGCTGTTGCAGTCTTTCCGCAACTGGTATTTCTCAAAGAACTCTGAAAACAAGGGATAGTTCTCCCACCAAAATGTCTGGAGCTTTGATAAAATTGAAGCGAGGATAATCCGCGTTTCCTTATTTTAAATTTGCTGTCCTGCTAAACATGGCAATTCATTCTTTTAGCTGATATACTCTGAGTATCAGATAGAATCATAAAGCGTATAAAAATAACATCAATAACATTTTCATTGATTTAGAGTAACTTGTGCCAAGGACGATGAATAAATCACAGTGATTGGCATGAAATTTCATCTTGTTACAATCTCATCAAGCTCATTCTCCTCTAAATAATTGTCTCATCTCTTAACATCGAATATGGTATCAACATTATAATTTTGCGCCGAAAGTTCGCTTATTAATTTTTCACTTAAGAGGAGCTGTATCTGCCACAAACCATTTTCATGAAGGTGAATTTAGGTGTATTTACTGTTGTCAAAGTTATGAAAACTTTTAGTGAGGTATGCATACTTTATTTGCGGTAACGAATGTAAGCCAAGTTCTATAGTCAACAAAACACTCAACGAACTTGAAAGCGCAAGTTAATTCGGCTTTGTCGCAATGCACCTTATTCACCGCTCTAAATAGCTACACCCTGCAGGCATCATATCGACTGTTTTACTAACAACTATTGAATTCGCTTTGCCCGCAGAAAAAATAACACATCAATGTGCCTCGACCCAGTAATCTTAATTTTTTTTCAAATTTAAATTCCCCTCATAAAAGTCGGTGAAAAAATTCCTCGCATTAGACACAATTTCACATTGCTCTCATAAATGGTAAGTAGATAATAGAACAGCATTAAGGAAATACTAAATTTTGGTGAATCGCTGACTGTACGCATATCTGGCGTGACATTTTTCAAGCAAGAAAATGTAAAATCTTGAACAGAGGTCAACGATGTTTCTTTCTCCTGTTATAGAATGTTTTGATGTAAGTCCTTTATCAGAATGGCAATTTATGAATCCATAAAGTGACTGAGGATTAAATAACTGAAATGAGGACAACAAAGGAGTTGCTCACCTTTGGGTATGAGATATGACCCCTTCCCCGGTCCTATTGGTAGACTTGTTTAGTAGCGAAAGTGGGGTGGCGGATAAAGAGGCAAACTTCAGGCACGCGTGCCTTGCGTGATTATTACAACAATCGAGTTTAAATTATGTTCAAGAATGTTTTGATCGAAGTCCTTTTCAGAGCAGAAACATGGATAAAACATTAGATTTTAAAAAGCTTTATTTAACAAACTGTCAAAATCTTTTCCAAAGAATCTATGCTATAAGTACAACAGTTGGTTTTGATTTCCGTGTAAGCGTCAAAATTTCAACCAGGCAAGACAAGAAACAAAAAATTGCTCATGCGCAACCAGCCTTCAACTCGTAAACAAGAGCACGAAAGTGAAAGCAGTGTGTTACGTATTGTGACCCTAACAAATAATAAGCCAGTGACACTGAGTCTTTTTGATTGGCGTCGATAACCGCAAGCGTCAAATTTGCGCGTTGATTCGTTAAGTGTAAGCTGAGCTGTTTAGTCCGATGTAGGTGAACAAATTATAAAAGGAAAGCACATCAGCTCCCCCAGTCCTTAAAGCAATACCTTAAGAAATTCTCGAATCGGCAGGAGTGGGTTCTGAGGAGAAGGGAAGGGGGGTTTACTTGCACACAATTCCACATTCCCTCTTGGAATTCAAGGCAGACAAAAGCAACATCAAGAAAATACTCAATTTGGCGATTTTCTAGCTGTAGTCGTGTCTGGTGTGATAT